AGCACCAGGGAGGTAGCTGTTTTGTGCTACCACGTCCGCAGATACGCCGTTGCTTTGGCGTGCGAGTTGTTTTGGTGGCCAACCATCGCCATCGGTGTCTGACGGCTCCGACGTTCGGTGCATCTCCTCCGTTATATACGAAAGTAAACAGACATGAACGCTGCATTCGGGAAGGTTTCGGGTCTCTTCCGGTATAAACATCCACTCTCAAGTCCAGTAGTTCAACCGAAACCGGAGTGTATTTTGTTTATCCTCTCTTCTTTGAACTTTCCTCGAAACGACCTCGTCGAACGGGGCACGCCGACGAGCGCAAGAAAAGGCCCCGCATACACTCTGCTTCCTTTTCATTTTTTTTTTTTCTGGAGCACGCATCACCGCAAACGGACGTCAAGAATTCATCCGACAACATCCGGGATTCAACGCTACTCGATCTAGCTGATACGATGCAGCGCTGCTGTAGAGGGTGAGGCTCATGACGGCTTTAAAACCAGAAGTGGTTTTAATAGCTGTGAGGTCTCCTGCTCGATCAGCGTTATCCACTTGTGATGAAGCGAGTTCAGTAAAAAAAAAAAAAATCACGAGGTTTCTCGTACACGATATATATGGCTTATTCTACGCTATAGATGTAAAATAGTCGTAATGATTGTGGAGTCAGTTTCCTGCAAGGTATATATGCCAGCTACACCGAAATCCTTGATATATGAACTACAACAATAGAATAAACAAAAGTAGAACGACAACACCTAAAAAGAGTCATAATGAAGGTATGAAAGACTGTCGACTGCATATAAAGAAATTACAAAACACCAACAAAGTTATTATAGGGCCGTTTATCCTTCTCCGAAATAGCTTCATTACATTACGACGGTTGGCACGCTTCCTTCATGAAGAGCTGTTTTACAGAGCGCAACGCATCAGCATTGGCATAAGCTAGCATATGATTTATTTAAGCACCGATAATTACACCCGGATGTTCTGGAGCAGCTTAAGCACAATCGAATCTGGGAGCTGGAAGTTCATTGCGCCCTCTGGTTAAGCCAGGTTCAAGGACGTCTTCTATATACGTGTCCTGATGCACCGTTTTAATGTTCGAGTGTTGCTCGTACACCTCAAGTGCTTCGCCCGTTATGCTTCTATAGTTGTGGTTCTTAACCCCACCGGACGATGGAATGCGTGTCAGGCCTCACGACGTGTTCACACACGCTATTGACTAGGGGGAACCCCCCTCCTCCACCTGCTCTTCCCTTCACGAACGGTAGCGCTGCTCCTTTCGGAAGCACGATTTCGTTTTGCATCAGGAAGCGGCGCACGGGGAACGCAGCGTGATACGCGCGCGCGCTGCCACCTTTGATTGACAGCGTTGCGGAATAGCTGCTCTCTATTCTAGAGGCGAACGAAGAGGTGAGTTGGTATGCGCGTGTGTGTGCATGGACTTCCGCCCTTGGAAACCGTAACAACGAGAGCGCCAACGGAGATGCCATGAGCCTCTTTGCCCCCAGTGCTCCCTCTCTCTTGTCCTTGGGGTGACTGCTCAGGGCACAGGCACCATGGCTGGGCGTCGCTCGACTCCTGGCGGGCTGCACTGCTGGTATTCCTGTAAGGATAGCTTTTTTCAATTTATTTCTGCGGTAGATGCACTACGCCCACTACGTGCTCCTATCACAACGAGCTTGACCAAATACGCATTCTCTGCGACATTCTAACGCGAGTGTTGAAAAGCCCGTTTCACCGAAATTCCGGTGTTGGCGTTGGTGTCAGCGTCGGTGTCGGCGTCGTTTGTTGTGAGCGAAAAATTATCTTCGCGTGACCGAAAAATTGAGAAAGATGCAAATAAAATAAATAACGAAAAATTCTGGGTCTGAATGACAATCGAACCCGGGTCTTTTGGCTGGTGTGGTAATGCTGTGGTAAAAGACTATAACCAACAAGAGAGTACGCCGGAAAAGACGACGATGGTGTGCGTGAGAAAGTCGTTCGCGAAACTCGCTTTCCATTTCTGGTTTCTCTAATGCGACATGCAGTATGCGCGGCCGTCCGGGAATATATGGATGAAACTAATAGGTTGACTAATTAACCAGTTTCATAGTCTAACATGTACACATAGTTATATACGTATAAAATCAGATTATTGCTCTATTCTATTAATAAATTCGTTTATGTAAATATTTGTATGCATTACATTAAGCACCACACTTTCCTAGGCTATCGGTAATCTTTCTGTTATACCTCAATTATTCCAAATCTTAACAGTAATTTTTAAAGCCACTCGATTCTTGGCCAATCCCCCATAGTGGGTATGCGCCACTAACAATAGGTGAACAACAACAACAACAACAACAACAACAACAACAACAACAACAACAACAACAACAACAACAACAACAACAACAACAACAACAACAACAACAACAACAACAACAACAACAACAACAGCTCGCCAGCTGGCGAACGTCACCGGGCTGGGACAACGTGGCCAGCCAGCCAGGGCGCCGGACGTTGGGTCCGATAGTCCACGGGGGTCGAGCTGGTGCGACCAGAGCAGTCGGGACGAGCTTGGTGTGTTCCTGGAACGAGCGAGCGTTGCGGGCCGGCCTAGCAGCTGTTCCTGCGGGGCTCGAGCGTGTGGTCCAGAGCCGAGATCGTGACCTCGGTGCCACGTCCCATGGGTTCCGGCACAACCCGGGCTAAGACCGTGGCCGTGGTGCCACGTCCGAGTGGGTAGTCGCCAGCGTGGGCCTGTACGTTCCGCGACGAGCAGGTCTTCGTCTACTCGTGCACCTGCGCACGACTTCATCACCGCAACTGTCCGCTTCTTGCTGAAATCGTCGCTACCTCTCTGCGGTACCGTGAGTGACGCTCGACGGACCTATAAGTCAGGACGCACCGATCTTCTCGCGCATGCCTTAGGACTTAACGGATATTTGTATTGTTAGGTGATTCACTGTATGCACGTGTCGAGAAATGTGTTTCTTGTTCGTGACTTCGTTTTCCTGCATGCATCTGAGGGCCGAAGAATACCGCAGGTGGCAAGCAGATGTTATACCACAGAGCCACACGTGTGCTTAGCAACACAGTGAAATTAATTTGCTCTGGTTGGAAATGCAGGGAAAGTTACTTGCATGTTTTACAAACACACGCGTCCTATATACATGCCTCACAGTGTAACATGTAATATCGCAGTAATAATGCGTGGTACAAGCGTACATTGCGATCGGACATCAGGACATGCGATTATCATGACTTATCATGCACACACGTAACTGCACCTTTTTTTCTCTTAAGGTCACGTAGTGGGTATACATAGCAAGCCCGAAAATATTCCGCGCTCACAATTGCTCGTGGTTTGAAGCATGCTACCCATTACACATAATGCAGCCGTATGCGAAAGCTTTACTGACACAAGTCATTTTGAACCCAAAACGCACTAGGGACAAGATATTGCTATTGCGTTCAACTCTCAAAGGCGTAGCTTACCGAAGAACGTGTGATAGGTCAACAGTGACTGCTCTGGTCGTTCCACAAGTTCCTTTCGCAGATTAAAAGGAGGGAGTGGATTGTTGTAAAGAACAGCACCAAACACTTCGCTTCGAAACAGTATGGCGCTCGCTCTCGCTCTGGCAAGTCAAGCATTAGGCACCACGTTTGATACCGTGGCAACGAGGTGAACGTTACGTTGAAAGAACAAGCAACAATGGTTTGCGAGCTGCTTCTGCGTGAGTTCTCCTAGCTAACTTCTTTGGGGAAGCCATCCGACGTCATCGGGTGAGTGAAAATGTGGTCAGGTGACTCCACCATAAGCAAATTGAGAGTAGATATTTTTTTCTTGTATTTCGATTTTTCTATATCGAATAACTTGGGATCGCATGCCATTATAACGGCCGTTATGGCTGTATTAGTGTGTGTGTATGTGTGTGTATGTGTGTGTGTGTGTGTGTGTGTGTGTGTGTGTGTGTGTGTGTGTGTGTGTGTGTGTGTGTGTGTGTGTGTGTGTGTGTGTGTGTGTGTACGTCAGTCTAATCATCCCACGAATAAAAAATCGGGCGTTAATTAGTGTTGGAGAGCCCCTCCCGGGAGTAATGCCGAGACAAATTTCTCTTCTTCATCCTTTAACCACTCCTTTAAACCACGTGCCGGAGAACGGTGCTCGATTTTGTTGGCATTCGTTAGTTTATATGATTTCAGCTGTTATGAGATAATTTACCCATATCGTTCGCATAGTATGTGCCAGGCGTTGTAAAATACTAGAATGCTGCCCCAGATTCGAGTCATCTGTTTTCGAACGTGTGTGAGTCTTTCGACTCTCTTGTGAAGTCCTTGCACTTGTGAGGCAATCAAGGGAAGTTGAATATCAGCAGAGTGACTTGTTGGACGAGTTGGATCATTCTTAATGTAGCATTTGGCGCGAAATAAACATGAGAGACGGACAAGCGCAATCCGTCTCTCGTTTATTTATTTATTTATTTATTTATTTATTTATTTATTTATTTATTTATTTATTTATTTATTTATTGTACCCTCAGGGCTTTACAGCATTGCAGAGGGGAGCGGGCACTGACGAACAATGTTAAAGAAAAGAATACATAGACAAGACACTAGAACATATTAAACACTGAAAGCAACTATTATCAACTGCAACTATGTTATACAGCCAGTAGATTATACAAGAAAACTAACAACCAAATCAAACGTTTACATTTCCAACACCAAGTATGCCAAGTGTTGATTTCGCGCCAAAAGCTACGTTAAGGAAGTTTAATGGAGGAAGCCGTACGGATAAACAATTGCTGAACTGTGCTTTACTGCCTCTGCTCTGGCATGAACCGCTTAAATTCGAAGGTCGGTGCAGAATCTTTGCACCAAAAATGTTTGCACCCGGAAAGCGCACGCGGAATTATAGTGGAAATTATGGCGACAAGCTTGCACTCCAAATAAATCACATTTATCCTTCACCGGAAATTCATACCACCCGCTTTAGTCAGATCTCTGCGCGACTAGTTGGAATTATTTTTCCTCCTGCCACAGCTGCTCCTGCGCAGTGCCTCAACAGCAACGAATTCGGACAGATTGTGCCGACGCGAGAGTGTCAGCAGTGGAAAGAGAGAGACAGAAATGACTTTAAACGAATATTAGAGCAGTATGCTATACTGCCAAGTGTATATGCTATAAAAATATCCGCGTCGTTGAAAAAAAAAAGTCTGCTATGCTTATTATATGTTCGATTTACAATTGCTTCAGCGTGAACGTGTTACCTATAGTCTCTGCATCAGTATGTAGAGAAACTGAACAGGTAAACAGGGCATCATGCACTTTTTTTGTACTATTGTGTTAATTTTTGGAACGCAGATACGTCTCCAACATTCTCTTTATCTGCTTTTCAACCAGTTCTTCCCAACCTGAGAGCAGTAGCTAACCGGAAACTCGAATCTATTTAACCTTCTTGCTTTCCCCTTTCTTTTCCACTTCCTCAAAAAAGTTTGCTTCATGAGAGACAACATTAAAAAAAATGATCGCACCTTGCACTTACCGCCAGGTGTCATGCAGGCACTGCGGAATCAGGGTGTCGACGAACTATATATAATATACTGGATGAAGGGAACGGCGGTTTCACAACCACTATGGTTATCTCCATAAAAAGTGACCAAATGGCAGTAAAGAAGAGTTTGTGACAGGGAGACTCGATCTCATCCATAAATTTCACCACGTGCTTACAGAAGGTCTTCAGGGTCTCAAATTGGGAGAGTTACGCATAACTATCAGTAAGGAGTACCTTAGTATCCTGCGATTCGTTGATGACATTGCACTGATGTGTAACTCTGGGACCCCAATTGCAGCGCATCATTAGACAAGAAAAGCAGAACGCAGGTCTCAAGATTAATATGCAGAAGGGAAGTAGTGTGCAATAACCTCTCATGAGAACAACGCTTAGTTATAGGCAGCGAGGCCCTGGAAGTGATGAAAGAATACGTCTAGTTAGGACAGGTATAGTGACCACATAGCAGAACCATGAGGCTGAAGTAACAGAAGAACAAGAATGGTGGGGAGCACAATCTTCAGATGTTATCAAATCACGAATTGTTAGTTGCCGCGATCCCTTAAGATAAGTCTATGTAGTGACAGCTCCATCTTGCCGGTACTTACAGCAGGAATCTGGAGGCTTACAAAAAGGGTTCTACTGATATTGAGGACAACGCAGTAAGCAGAAAAAAAAAAAGATAGCTGTAACATTAAGAGACAAGAAAATATCAGAGCAGGGCAGGAAACAAAGTGGTGTTAACAACATTTTCGTCGAAAAAAAAATGAACACTGGGCAGGCAGCGCAGTGCGTATACAAGATAACCACTGGTCATTAAATGTAGCTGACTGTATTGCAAAGGAAGGTAAACGCGTCAGGGGGAAAAGTTAGGTGGGCCGAGATCAAGAAGTTTGCGCGGGTTCATTGGCGCGCGGAACTGGGAGAGGTTTTTCGCCCTTTAGTGGGCTCAGTCAGGCTGACGGTTCTGACGATAGATCCAAAAGTTTTAGTTGCTAGCCTCAGCTCGTATAACATAACTTATTGCGCTGAACTCACTGCGTGGTATATGGGGCAAAACAGTGTTTTTTTTAAAAGAAAACACAAATATTTAGAAAAGATGGAAATTTATGAGCGGCATACCCACAGGGTTACACATCAGTGCAATGGCATCGCCTCCGGAAGTGGAAGCCATCCGGTGTGGCCCTATTACCGCACTTGATATCACGGGAGTGCTTCTTTCTAATTTCTGTAATCACACGAACTCCGCAAAGACTAACAGGATGGGCAGCTCGCAGCGTGGCGTTCTCATGACACATTAGGCCTGCATCACCAGAACGATAGTCTCGGATATCAAGAGGTGTTTCGATAGTGACTTCTTAGGGTGCGTGTGCAGTGGCATCGGGAAAGAAGCGCACTGCGCTACCTTTTCACGCGTTTTCTAGCGTTCACCACGCCATGGTAGCCCAGCAGTTTCGGTGCTTGACTGCTAACCCGATGGTCGTGGGATCGAATGCCGGCCGCGGCGGCCGCATTTCGATACATGCGAAATGCTAGGTCCCTGTACGTAATTGTCTATAAGTGCACGCTAAAAAAAAAAACCAAGTCATAAATTTCTTAACTCCACTGCAGCGTTCCCCATATTCATATCGCTATTTTGGGACGTAAAACTGCAGCAATTATATTATTATTATTATTATTATTATTATTATTATTATTATTATTATTATTATTATCGCTTCCCAATCACCTTCTCTAAGAAAAACAGTGCTTTTAATAATGTGAAAGGGTGACTTTCTAACAGAATAAAAAACTCTTTTCTCTAGCCGCACTGCGTATCAGCCTGTCACGTCTCTGCTTTGAAAAAAAGAGAGAAAAAGAGAGAGGACAAAACCCCTTCAACTTAAAATGTAATGGTACATCGTCGCTTGCTTGTTTTCAGCGTGACACCGTATACTACGAATCGCGCACTACGATCGCATGATACAGATAGTTGCGATCTTTTCTTTATTTTTTTTCCTTTTTAAGCCATGTATACCGGCTGCAGCCTGAAAAAACTGGTATACTGCTATGGCAGCAACTCCGATTTAGTGTGGGCTTATCTTGTTTACAGTTTCCGGGCCTGTGTCTACGTAGAGCAAGACAGATTTACAGGCAGACTTCGCTGACACCGATGTTC